TCAAAGCAATTGCACCTACTCCACAGCCAAGAGTAGAGCTGCCGCAAATCCAATGCCAAGAGGCAAGTTCAGGTATCCATCTCGAGGTGCCCGCATGTGACACAGAAATATTTGATGGAGGTTATGAAGAATGGCCGTCCTTCCGGGACATGTTCACTGCCGTATACATCAACCATCCAAAATTATCAAAAGCGCAAAAATTGTATTACCTCCGATACAAAACAAAAGGTCAAGCAGGCATAATAGTCAAACAGTTCGCACTTAATGACGAAAATTTCCATTTGGCTTGGGAAGCTCTAAAAGCAAGATATGAAAATGAAAGAATATTGGTCGATAACCAAGTAACGACACTAATAAACTTGCCTAAAATTCAAAAAGAAACCAGTGAAGAGTTTATAAGGCTGCAATCCACTGTTTCAAACTGTTTGTCGGTTTTATCGACACGAAATATTCCCACAGACAGCTGGGACCCTATACTGGTAAACATATGCACTGCCGCATTACCAGAAAAATCGTTACTTTTATGGGAGCAATCGCTCTCATCACGAAAGAAATGCCCCACGTGGCAACAAATGAAAGACTTTCTAACTACCCAGTACGAAATCGCTGAAAGGGTAGACAAAAAGCTAGTTAGAACTAAAAACGTTCAAAACGACCTAAAAAGAAGCTTCAATAGACCCCAAGCTAGTAGCAAAAACAAATTAAACAGAAGCTTCTACAAATCTCAATCGTTCACATCCGAACAGAACAATCATACGTCATGCGAACTATGCACGAGAGGGCATAAACTACAATCTTGCGAGAAGTTTAAAAACTTAAAAGTTAACGAACGAAACTATTTCGTGAGATCAAAAAAACTTTGTACAAATTGCTTGTCACATGCGCATAAATATAAAAATTGCAAGCAAATTCAATTGCTCATATTGTCATAAAAGACACCACTCAATGCTCCATTACAGCAAATTTCCCATATCACCCCAAAGAAGCGCTTATACAAAAAGAACCACAGGTTTAGTGGTAACAGAAACTGCCAAAAACCAAAATCCTGGAAATTGCCAAAAAGCACCGTGCTGCTCAAAGGCATTAAAAATACAAACGGTACACAGCGATATTCAAAGTAGGGTATTACTACCCACAGCAGTCGTCTCCATCGAGCACCGAGGAGAACTTTTTAAGCTTAGGGCCTTAATAGACCAAGGATCACAACGATCATTTATAGCGTCTAAGGCACAAAATAGGCTAAAATTGCCATCAAAACAATCGAATTTTGAAATTACGGGAATGGGCGGAAGAGTAGTCCGAAACTCAAATAAAATCTGCCCCATTGCCCTAATTTCCCCCCAAGCGGATAAGCGAATTGTAGCAGAAGCTATAGTTCTACCGCAACTTACTAACATGCTTCCATGCTATCACATAAATAGCAAGCATTGGCAAAAGGTTTCACACTTAAAGCTAGCAGATCCCAACTGCAACACCCCCGCTAACATAGATATTCTAATAGGCAGCGACCTTATACCGCAAATAATGCTTGAAGGTGTTGAAAAAATTTCAACGACCCTTCTAGCCCAAAATACAATATTCGGTTGGATTCTAAGTGGACTAGTTACTGAACCAATTTCCACATCAACAACTCAAGTTGACGAAAATTCAAAAGAATACCTTAATTCACAATCAAGGATATTTCGGGAGTTAGAAAAATGCCCCCTCATATCAATTAAAACCCCAGAAGATCAGTATTGTAAAGACTTCTACAAAGCCACAACTACTCGATCAAATAATGGTCGGTACGTCATACGACTACCACTAAATTCACAATGTTCCAACACTCCAAGAATTGGCCGAAAAAACAAACTCAGAGTCCCTTCTGACAAGATCAGTTTTAAAAAACACAAATATGTAACTTTTCGACCCCGCAGGATGGCTCTTGCCAATAATGATACAAAAATCCTGATTCAAAAAGTTTGAGATATGTTGTGCCCTCCTACTTGCCAAATTAGTGCATACGCACTTTAACATACATATATCCAAATTGTCCCAAAAAAGTCTAAAAAATCGACACATAACAAATTGTGCTCTAGTAGCTTACTTTTTCAAAATTATAAAACAATTTAAAAATAAAGTTAAGCGATCAGCATGCTCCCAATGCGATACAATGACGCACCAAGCCTTACAACAAGCAAAGGTCGCTCTAATCGCATATATCTAAGCCCCCTTCGTATTGGTGGTTTATGGGAAATACTTGTAATACGTGTACAAATCCACTTAAAAAGTAGCCGTAAATCACAAATCTTACGCTCGCAAGATCCCTCTTCAAAGGTTTCAAAGGAGCACCCATTCTGGCCATATCTGAGCTAGGCGTGGAGTCGCCATCCTATAAGCCGATAATAAAATAATAGTAGATAACCGGCAATAAAATGAATAAACAAAATTATACCATCTAATAATACGTCGTCACAACAACAAATCGAATAAATGCAAAACAACGTTGCTTGCTTAACGCACTAACTTCTAAATCAAAAAACATAATACCAATTTCAAAATAAAGATTCCATCCTACACGTACAGGTAAATATGGATCTACCACTACTGCATTATCATACATACCGCGCCCTCGGCTACTCCAATTGCAGTACGCCGTGATACCTGGGACATTTACAGCATATCTGTACTACTAGGCAAAATATTCGCCTAGGGGGCCCAGGATGTTTAAATGACTATAAACTCCCCTTCCAACTACACCGCTTCTTCAGGGTAAATAATGTCACACCCTAATACAACACACCACACCTTGGAACACAACACGCACTCACAACATAAACGACCACACTGCACACGATGTCAGCACAGAAGTTACCACCATACACGATGACACCCCACACCATCAACAAAAAGAGGGATTGGATCTTCAATTCACCTCATTCGAAATAATTCCGATCTCTTTGCGCAACGTATGAAATCGCTATCTCCGCTACCAACCGTCAAAACTTTCTGAGTTTAAAATCGTAGTATTAATTTTTATCAAAAAAGTGTTAAACCAATAAAAAACTTGTGAAACATTCAATAAAAAAAAAATAAAGAATATTTCAATTTAAACCTTAAAAAGGCGTTTGTGAAAGAAACGGGAAGTAATAATGTCAATTTTGAGTGCTAACATTATAGCATAATTATTCACTTACCACAGATATTTTTTTAATTTAATGGGTTTATTAAATTATATTTAAATACATGTTCATTATTATTTCATTATTTTAATTTTTGTTCCTACGCATGTCCAAGAACATCTGCATCCACATCATAAATTTTGCTTGGTTCCCTTATAGAGTGGTGTAGTTCGTTGTGTGATATGCTTAATTTGTATCGAGAAATACTGATATATGCGATCTGATATATGCGATCGTTTAACGTGCTTCGTTCTAGCTGTTCTCGCAAAAAGTGATGTCTTTGTTTGCGCGGGGCAAGGAGAAGCAAGCACCAGCGTACGTGTACTTATAAATGGATGTGTGATTTTCACATTTGTATAAATATGCATCAATATGGGAATATTTAATAAACCTAAATAAATGACATATTTTTCTGAAATATTCTAATTATTTCATTGATTAAAATAGGCTATTTAAGTAACTGAATTGATATCAACTAAAACGTGAAATAATAAAAACAAAAATTAAGATTTTTGATTTACAGGATTCGAACGTAAGCGTTTGTATTCGGAATGACTTAACTTATTCACGTTTACGACCTAAGCCACCGCAGAAGAGAGAACGCAGCCGCTTAGCCACTCTTTTATTGCTATCCGTTGCCTATTAGATATTGTTCATGCAACGCACAAATATTTTTTCAATAATGTTTAATAATTCTGGGGCTATAACCAATATTTCCCTTATATAATTTGAAAGATTATTTTTAAATTACAAAAATTATGATTTTTTGGTAATATGTAAATGTAAATCGGCATGCGAATAATTCATGTAAGAACATTCTTTGTGTCTATTTATAGCCTTTCCCCGTTTCGGTCATTGCATGGTGTATTTCCAAAGTTTCGAAGTTATATTTTTCAATGTTCTTGTGAAAAGCTGAAATTAGTACGTTTTAACATTTGCGCTTTCTCTATTTATTAACATTCTCTCATCAAATATTTTGCTGAAGTTCAAATCCTATCACAGATATATTTTTATTTTTATAAAACTTGTTTATTAATTGATATTTTAAAGAAATTTTCATTATTATTTCCTCATTATTTGCATTATCTTGTCAAAAAAAAATTCCTTCTCTTTTTTTCTGTTAATTTTTGTTCATACTCATGCCAAAGAACATCTGCGCATACATTTTGCTTGGTTTCCTTATAGAGTGGTGTAGTTCGTTCCGTTCCCTCATAGCGTGGTGAAATTTTACTTTCGAACTTCCGAGTTTTCGATGTTACCTCATATAAATTTACATTTTAGAGCAGCCAACAATTGCGCTTTCTCTTCTTATTAACCTTCTCTGCAAAAAGATTTGATTTAACATTTCCGCCTTCTCTATTCATTAACATTTTCTGGTTTCAGTACCACTGAAAAAAGTTATAAACATACAAACATACAGGTGAAGCTAATAAAAGCATTGTAAAAATAGATAAATTAAAAAATTCAAATAAGTACACAGTATATTCTAAATATTCAATTGAAATTTGAGCGCAATTGCAATCATGGAAAGAATTTGAATGCAATCATGAAAAGGAATGCTGAATTATGTTATGTAGCAGATAACTGTTATGAACCGAAGCTTCTCTCTCCATCTTTGAATATATAAATAAAGTATGTATGCTATCAAATCAATATACACAAGTTCGTCTAAATAGAATTCCCCTTTTCCTACGCCACATATTTGTATATTAATTAAATTTTGCCAAACTCCTCTCCACAAATGTACATACATACAAAGCAAATAATTGCATTGCATAGGATTAATTATTGTGTTGTTTGTAATGAAATGTACGAATTATAACATACTATTTTTTATAGGGTGCCGGCGGTAATGGCAATGTTTTAAAGGAGCTAGTAGAGCCTGGTTTCGCGGGAGCAGTAATATTTTCGAAAGAATTTCAATTGGGTGATCCTACCATAAATGCCTTAGAGTTGTGGGGTGCAGAATATCAAGAAAACAACGCACTGATTTGCAAGCCTGAACATCGTAAGGTTTTGGAAGAAATTTGCTCACGGGAGCGCTGTCCAATCAGTTTTGTTGGTGTTGTTACCGGAAATGGAAGAGTGACATTAGTTGAAAGTGAGGCTGATTTTGAGCGCGCTTTGGAGTTGGGTGATAATTTAAATTCAATGGGTGCTATACCCTTTGATCTTGAACTGAAACATGTACTTGGCGATATGCCACAAAGGGAATACAAATTGGAGCGTATTTCAGCAAAGCTAAAACCATTATCACTAAACGCAGCTTTCAATAATTCCGAAGGCTTGAAAAGTGTGCTAAGTCAATTATCTGTAGGAAGTAAAAGATTCCTTACTAATAAGGTAGATCGATGCGTTACCGGTCTAGTGGCGCAGCAGCAGTGTGTAGGGCCGTTGCATACTCCTTTAGCCGACTACGGCTTAACTGCAATTTCGTATTTTGGAAAAGAAGGCATAGCTACGTCTATCGGTACTCAGCCTATAAAAGGCATCCTTAACGCTTCTGCAATGGCACGTATGTGCGTAGCCGAAGCGATATCTAATTTGGTTTTTGTAAAAATCACGGAATTAGCAGATGTTAAGTGCTCTGGAAACTGGATGTGGGCAGCGAAATTACCTGGAGAAGGTGCCCGTTTATATGACGCTTGCAAGGAAATGTGTCAAATGATGAAGGAACTGCATGTTGCAGTTGATGGTGGAAAGGATTCACTTTCTATGGCTGCAAAAGTTAACGACGAAACTGTAAAATCTCCGGGAACTCTTGTAATTTCTACTTACGCACCATGTCCAGACATTACCGTGAAAATAACTCCAGATCTTAAGGGTCCTACTTTAGGAGAGCAAACAGCCCTTGTATGGATAAACATCGAAGGCAAGTTTCGATTGGGTGGATCCGCGCTAGCCCTTGCGTTTTCACAGCAAGGAGACGAGTGCCCGACCGTTTTGCGAAGTGATATTCTTGCTAAAGCTTTCACCACTACTCAAAACTTAATACAGCAGAGAAAACTCTTAGCTGGGCACGATATTAGTGATGGTGGCCTTATTGTATGTCTATTGGAAATGGCATTCGGAGGATTATGTGGATTTCAAATTGACTTAACCAATGTAATGGAGGTATTAAAAAATGCTCATATCGATAAGGCAGCAAAACTGATTAGTAAACCAGAAGTGGCTGTCTTGTATGCAGAAGAATGTGGTTGGGTTATTGAGGTGCCAATGAAATTGCTGTCGGAAGTTCAAAATATCTACACGAATAATGGGGTTCCGAACTATTATTTAGGTTCAACATGTGGTCATGGTCTCAATTCGACCTTAATTATAAAAAGTCATTCCGAAACCATTCTTCAGAACGATGTTCAAACTCTTTTTAAACAATGGGAAAGAACAAGTTTTGAGATAGAAAAACTGCAATCGAATCCAGATTGCGCTTTGGAAGAATATAATTCGTTGAATTATCGTTCCGCTCCTAAATATTATTGTAGTTTCGACTTAAATGCTGAAATAAGTGTACTACGAGCAATAAATGTTGTGAGCGTTGCTGTTATTCGCGAAGAAGGTATCAATAGCGAGAGAGAAATTATGGCATCCCTAATTAAAGCCAATTTTGAAGTTCACGACGTTACCATGTCTGATTTGTTGTGCGGTAAGTGTATTCTTATACATTTTAAGATCATAAATAAAAACTATATTTCTATTTATTTACAATGAAGCTAATAATAAGGAAGAAATATTTATTTCAGAATATGATAAATATGTGTAATATTTATGTGGTAACAACGCTAATTTTCTTTATTTTTATTTGATTATGCTCAAATTTTAAAACATGTATGTATGTTGTGTAATTGCATATCCCAAATTTTTATGACTACAAGTATAATAAGCATTCCGGTTTAATTATCCACATATATCTTATGAAGTTACATTAATTATGCATCCAGGTATTTTTTTTTTATCTATTTCTTATACAGCAGTATGTAAATAATTTTGTTTTTTAATAAAATTATACAATATATTAAAATATAGTCAGCTTCAACGTTCATAGAATACAAGCAACGTACATAGATAGATAGATAGATAGATAAGAAAATGGAGTATGCACAGCGACCTAAGGTCTATTGTGCCCTCCCCTAAGTCACAATGACTCACTTCGCCCTAGCACATTGATCAATTCCAGTATACTGCTAGGTGCTTATGAGACGATGTCATCCCTATTCGGAAACATGGAGCCAAAGACCCTGAACGTTCATAGAATGCAAGGTTACCAACGTTCATAGTATACAAGATTACGACAACCGTTCACGTCATAAAACCAACATAGTCATATCTAAAGTGGGACTAATTTGCAAAAAAAAATCCTGTTTTTTTTTTTTTGCGTTTTTTGTTTAAATCATTATTTGCTATATCTCTCCATCATTGCACATTAAGACAGACTTAAACACAACTATGTATGTAAGCCTTGCCCAATTTGAATAGGAGATTCTTTGAAATCATCCTCTTTAAAATTATTGCAGCTAAATCTTGAATTTTGATTACTGTCTACGTCGCAAAATATAATCCAAAGTTTTTCTAAACTTTCATTTATACGAAATATTAAAAAATGTAAGAGGAAAACATATATATAAGTATTTCTTTGATATACTGATACAAAATCAGTGTCATTAATATATTCTTATTCAAAATTTTACATTACAGTAGTTTCCTCCGCCTTAAGATTTTCAAAGTTGTACGAAATTTGTATATTTAAATTTCGTAATAACATTCATAGAATTTTGTCCATATCTTTGCTAACAACAACCCACTGTATACTTAATCCTCGTTTTGAATTTTTTAAAGCGGTTTTTACTAAAATTTTAAGGCTCTACCGCTTCAAAAACGCCCTTGATATTATAAATAATATGTGGAGACATATTGTAAATTGAAATATTTTTGAAGACTAAAATAAGTTTTTTAAATGAAAAACTACTTCATATCATTTTATTATTCATATTTTAAGCTGTTTCAAAGAAAGAAAGAACACAAACATATTAAGTAAAAAAACTAATGCAAGCAACCATCTTGAACCAACTTCGTCATCAAACATTCTATTAACCAGAGATAAAGAGATGCCCAACTCATCTCTTACTGGAAATGAGAGCGTAATTGCTAAACGTCAAAACCTGAACGTCTGACGTTTAACAATTGGAAAAAGAGGGACGGAAGATTGAAATCCTACAGAAAAATATGTGAACAGAGAGATTTGTTGCCGCTGTTGAAGATCACAAACAAAAATTGGAAAACAATTAAAATGAAAGAAAACGCAAAATTGAAATGTATGTCATTAAATCTTTTGTGATGCCATGTTTCGTAGTAGTAATTTTCAATTGAAAATGATAAAAAAACATTCACTAATTGAGAGTTAATACATTTTTTCTCTCTTTAAGTATTGAAAGTGCAAAAATCAGTTGTTTTAATATATCACGAAATCACATAAGGATTTATATAATTTTTCCATATGTTTAACGCATACATGTGAAATAATATTTAATCTTAATAAATGTTCGGTATTATAATTTAAATGTACAAAAATTATTATTTTGTCCGATCTAGCTACAATGCAAAATGTTATAAAAAATGCTAATTTTGAGGCGCTCTCACACTGGAAAGAGTTGGGCATCCCATTATCCCTGCTATTAACGTTGCAAGTTTACGACAACTTTGAAATCATATATTTGATGGCGAAGTTGGTTCAGGTTGGTTGGTTGCCATAGTCTCTTAAATATGTTTGTGTTATTTTAATCTTGAAATTTCTAACTAACATTTTTAAATATCATTAAATCCGTTAAAAAAGTGGTAAATTCGCTGTTTGTTTGAATATATTATTATACATATTTCAAAATCGATTTTTACAAATTTTTAATATAATCTAGTGTGTTTCAAAAGTGTAAATTGTGCAAAAATCGATTTTGTGACGCTGAGGTTAATAAAAACTCAATCATTTTAAAGTGCATGATGTAATTATTTAAGTTCTTGTCATTTACAAAAATAAGTGAGAGTTATTAGCAGGTTAGTCATAAGAAGCTGAAACTCGGCAAAATTGC